AACACAACTGGCTTGGAAAGTCTTTGCTTTGGAGTGTCAGCTCTTAGACTAGGCGGCACTGGGCTGTTCGTCACGTGCCCAAGCAGGAAGGCCTTGTGAGAATGCAGGGGTCTCATGTGCTCTCCCCGTCCGAGGGGCCTCTGCTGCGGCTGACAAGTACAGGCAACCCCTTTTGGTACCCCCTCTTTCTCTAGGGCCCATCTTCAAATTGGAGCTGGAAGTTTCAGGGTTGATGTTCCCTTTCCAGACAGTTTCAACCCCACTTTGAAGTTCTGAGAGAGGGTTTCTGACAGAAACTCTTTATGAGGCTTTAGCTGAAGCCATGGGGCTAGAAAAGTTGAGGAATGAACTTGATCTTTTAAGGAAATCACTTTTTGAGGGTTTTTAATTTCTTTTTTTTCCAAATCACTCCTTTAAACAAGCAAAAAAAAAAAACCCTTACACAAATGAAGGAGACATGAAAGCTAGTTAAAAGTAACCCTCTGCTCCCTCAGTCCCCATCCTCCTCTCTCCTGCCAAAGCAAAATACGGCCTCACAGCCCGCACCAAGCCAGTGCTCACACCTGCCTCCTGCGCCTGCCTGGGGGTCAGCCAGCTCTCAGGCCGGGCTGTGCGGGGCCGGTCAGCCCCTGCACACGGCCAGCGCATGGGAAGGGCTGCTCTGGCAGCTGGGCGGGTCCTAAATTCCAGCACACTGTTCACTGATGGCAAGGGAAGATGATCTTCCCAACTAGGAAACCACTATTTTATGTATCTGTTTTCCCCTCAGCTCTGTAGAACTTACACAGACACTCAGAGTTTTGCTGGATATTTTCCAGCTCTTTTAAGATGAAAGAATCAATTAAATCATTGCAAAAGGCCTTTTGGGATCTAAAAGTAAAATGACTTCTCCTGGCACATATTTCAAAGCAAAGACTTTGTTGCCTGCTGCTTGTTCTCTAATTATTTAATTAAATTAAATTCTGTAAGGTATGTGTATATTTATACAGCTGTAATTAATTGCACATTGGACTGAAAAAAAGAGGCTGACCTCGCGTGTGGCA